TATTTTGATTTTGAATATTTAAAAAACTAATGTGGTCAACAATGAAAACATTAAGTACAATGAAATAGTGTTAAAATAACGCTCTGTAACATGGCTCTGCCATAACTCGCATGTCCACTCTCACGGTGGTGTTTACAGAGATTATCACCTCTCTCCACTGTGTTGCACGAAGAGGGCTCCCGGGCTGGGGGGGGGGGCGGGGGGGGGGGGGGAGTTGAGCACGTTCCTCCTTGCTCAGCCCTGAGACAGGATAATCGGTGTCCTCCCTTTGCTCTCCCCCTTTCACTCCGCCTTGTCCACAGCTAAAACCAAAAACGATAGGGAAAAGCACTGCAGGGCCCCGCATGCTGACTGTTGTGCTGGGTGCTTTTCATTTATTCATCTCTCTCCCCTACAACACCCTGCACCCTTTTTTATAGTAGTTCTCATTACAGAAATGAAAACGTTTGAACCTGCTCAGAGAAGCACAGGGAACCTTCCATGTCACAGATTCACGTGATTAATTGGGGGATGCAGGATGAAACCAGGGAGTGTGCGAGTTCAGGTGCTACCTCTAGATGGTTGACGTTCCTGTGATCATTTGGCTTTTTCCAGGAAAAGTCACCTCTGCTCAGGGCCTCAATTTGTGAGGCGAAGGGCTTGGAGTCAGTGGGCTCCCCGCACCACTCAACTCTAACCTGGTGTGTGTCTGTGATGTATCAGGCTGAGGCACCATTACAGAAAATTTTTAAACTCAGTTTATAAGAATGTAGGCAGATGTTTTGACAACGCTAGCACATGCTGACCTTTTGTTGCTTCTATATGGTTGCCAAGAAACAAAATGTAACTGAGTAAATCTGAAGATCTAACTGGCTTTATTAAGCAATGGCTTTATTCATGAATTGGGCAGCCTCCCATCTAGCAAGCGGAAGGGTGTTCCAAGGAGTTATGCAGAAAAGGGAAGGTTCTATAGGAAGAAGGGTGGAGCAAGAGAGCTATTAACAAGAGAAAAGAAGAGATTGTTTTTTGACCAGGGCATCTTCTTTTGGGGAAACGCAATAGCACCTGTTTTTATCATGCAGATCCCTTGCTCTAAAGGGTGGAGGGTGGGGGTTACCACATTGATTACCACACTGAAGTTGACCAGAAAATTCCAGACTGGTTAAGATTATGTATCTGAGGGAGGTTAAAACAGCAGTTAGGTCAAGTACAAGTCCAGGTTTGTTATCATGAGCTTTAGCACAAGGACATTTTGAGCTTGTTGCTTTCTCTTTCACAGGGGGCTGCATGATCCACTTCTCGGGCATCTGGATAAGCCAGGCCGGGCTAGGAGAGGCCTGGAGCTGGTTCGGAGTTGGCTCCAGTGGTGACTCCTCCCCCAACCCGGGGGCTGAGATGGCCCAACCAGGAATAATAGGGAGGGGGCCAAAGTGATGGCTCACTGACATTTAAAAAAATGTTAATATAATCAACATATTACATTGTATTGGTTTTAGGTGTACAATATATTAATTTGATATACATCTACATTGTGAAATGATTGCTGAAGTAAATTTAGTTAACATCCATCATGCTACAGAATGACATCATTTCCCTTGTGATGAGAACTTTTAAGATTACATTTTCTTTCTTATATTATCTGATAGAGAGTTCTGTGAAAAGAGCTGTGAAAGAATTCACAAAGAGAAGAAAGTGCAGGGAGTGAAATTTTACTTACTCTCCAAGAAAGCAGAGGGTCACGGTTTTTATTGGTTTACAATTGGATTAAAAAAGGGTGGGGGGTGCTGTTGTGTAGCCTCTAGGCTGCTGGGGACTTTCCAACACCGGAGATTTCGGGTGGTTTTGCATAAGCTCCAATGTCACCTTTTGCCTGCGGCTGTGGGAGGGGGGCCAGTAATTCAAATTCTGTTCTTGCTTTCCATTGAGTTCCAGTCCTGGGGACAAAAGCTCAGAAGAGTAAAAGGGTTGTTGTGTTTAACATGGTCAAGGGCTTGCTCAGCAAATAGTGCCAAAATAGCAACTGACACTGACTTTAACCTTTCATTACCCATAATACAAATGGAAGACGTGGGTTACGACAAAAAATGAGGGGGTGACCTATGCTATTGGATAAAGAGAGATTAATTTTCATTTCACACACTGCAATAAGAAAGGAAAACTGATAAGAGGGGAAGACATTGATGATGAGATATCAATAAAGGAAGAACGAGAAGGGCAAATGAATCTATCTAAACTATTAAATATGCCCAGAGATTAACTGCAATGACTCCATTAACATTTAAATATTTTTGAAATTAACTACTTTCTCTCTGTCTGTCTCTCCCCCCCCCTCTCGTTTTCCCTTCCAGTCCTGTGTTCAAAGACCATTAAGCAGAAGAAATCGCGTGTGTTTATTTTAGAAATTACCAGTTAGGAAGAGGTTAGAAACGTTCAAAACCAAGTGTCTTATTTTTATTCTCTAACATAAAGACAGGCACAAAGTACTGACGTTTTGCTATTTGAATATACTGTGCCAAGCACTGCATTTATTACTGTAGGTCCAGTCATTACCCGGAAAGTATAATTACTCAGGTGTATCTGCTATTTCCCTTCTCTCTTCACCAGCCTTTCTGGGGAGTAACTGTTCATGTCACTGTTCATGCCACTGTTTATGTCACTGTTACGTGGCATGGATGTCAGGGCTACTTAAACGAGATACTTTCTCACTAGGATTCTGAAGGGACACAACGATTATTTTATTTTATTGATTTAGAGCCTTTTATATGAAAAGTGCTTCACCCTAGCTTCTGAGAAGGATATTTTAGACTTCAAATGACTCCAAGAAGCCCTGGCTGGTGTGGCTCAGTGGGTTGTGTGCCAGCCTGCAAACCGAAAGGTCACAGGTTCGATTCCTACACAGGGCACATGCCTGGGTTGTAGGCCAGGTCCCCCATTGGGGGCTTGTGGGAGGCAACTGATAAATGTTTCTCTCTCGCACATTGATATTTCTCTTCCTCTCTTTCTCCCTCCCTTCCCTTCTCTCTAAAAGTAAATAAATAAATAAAGTTTTTTAAAAATAATGAAGAGAAAAGAGAAATGTATTTTCTTAACATATTTCTCCTTGTCTTTTTCCTTAAGGGAAAGTATCAAAAAATTTGTGGACACATTATATCCACCACATTCATGACTAAAAAGGCCACATGTTTCAAGTGATACAATGACAAGACTGTGGAGCCTGTACCAGCAAGGGTCCCTGTGTGACCCTATGGAACAGACCCCCTGTGCCCAGTGTCTGTTAAACTACCTCTGCCCATACATCTGACTCATGATAGGCCTATATAAGCTTCCATCTGACCAGGCAGCATTTTGTAATCTTGACCTCAGGTGTTACAGATGTGCACTGCTGTGATGGTGCCAGTCAATACACACTAACTATGGGGAGTCATGGGAGATTGGGAGACTGAAGACCAAGGAATAAGCTTGGGCTTTTATTTGCTAGGATGTCATTCAAGTTTTTCAAGGGGAAATGACAGAACCAGAATGATTTCATATGAAATCAAATTGTAGAGTTGTTCAGGGCATTAACACATCATGGTTAAGAATGCCAGCCCTGGAGTCAGACTTCCTGAAGTCAGTTCTTAACTCTGCCACCCATTAGCTGTATCTGTGTATATACCTGTTAGTCACACTTAAACATCCTCTTGCCTAGGTTCCTCAAATATAAAAGGGTGCCAGTGATGCCTATTCTTTAGATTTTATGAAAGAATTAGATAAACTAATGTTTAAAAAGACTTATTTTTGGACTCTGCCTACTAAGAAGGACTAAAACCAATGACCAGTCTGATATCACCAAAATCCCATCAGGGCTAGATTGTGATTCCTAGATACCATTTGTCCTGTAAGAAAGCCAGCACTCCCTGGAAAAATGAGTGGTTGCAAGCCTGAGATGGAAAGTGCATAAGATGGGCATAGAACATTTTTCATACCAAATCTGAGGCAGATGTGAGACTGCTAGGTTCATTTCAGAAGGACTCAGGAGGCAAGTTGAGGAGTTTTTCACTAGCCAACAATGAGATATTTTGAGAGTCAAGATGAATAATAATGGCAATAAATTAAAACATGTCAAATGCATTTAGAATCCAGAGTTCAGGATGATACAAGGTTCATCTCTGGATAATGCCAAAAGCCAAATTATTATTTTAAAAAGTGATGAATCTAGGTGTATTCTGCTTTTTTAAAAAACAAAAACTCTGCTTTAGGGTGACCTCCTATTTGATTAGAGAAAGTTCCTCTTTAATGCAAGTATTTCAGCCAATAAATGAACAAAGAACTAGGATGTCAGCTCTTTGTAACTCCAGATGAATTAGTGGGTCCAGGCAATAATTACTATAAGAAACAAGACAGGCAGACAGTGTGTGCTTCCTCATGAAAATACTTAAGGGTATTTGCCAAAAGTGAAACCTAAATCTAAGCAAGTTTCTGGGCTAAATAGAGGTAGGCAAACTTTTTCAGTAAGGAGCCAGATAGTAAATCTTTTTGGTTTGGGGGGCTGTATGGTTTCTTTCACAAGTACTCAACTCAGCTGTTGTACCATGCAAGTCACCATGAACAGCACATAAACAAACAGCTGCATTTCTTAAACTTTTATTTACAAAAATAAGCAGTAGGCAGGATTTGGCCCACAGGCTGTAGTTTTCCAAACTGTTTTCTAGAATACAGACGCAATAGTTTTATTCTGGAATTATTATTTGCTTGGCGGCATCTTAAGGGAGAGGATGTTTCATTCCTATTTTCTTCTCACCTAGCACCCCTACTTGACAAAGAATGGATGGAAAATAAAACCTTGGGGCAGAGTCTGGTGTGGGGGTAGGCTGTGTGGGAATGCAAAGCAGGGAAGGAAGAAGAAAGGAGAGAGGGGAGTGAAGAAAGCAGGAGAAAAGCTCTGTAACTGATTTGGTTTCGAAAGCATAGACAACTTTAAGGAAGTGTCTCTCAAGCTGTGTTTTCCGGTCACCTCTATCTTTTACATCAGGACCATTCACAACATGAAATCAGGAAACCTCTCAGATACTGTGGGATTCGTCCTCCTGGGACTGTCAGATGACCCAGAGCTGCAGCCCCTCCTGCTCTGTCTGTTCCTGTCCATGTACCTGGTCACCGTGCTGGGAAACCTGCTCATCATCCTGGCCATTATGTATGACTCCCACCTGCACATGCCCATGTACTTCTTCCTCTGCAACCTGTCCTTTGTCGACATCTGCTTCACCTCTACCACCGTGCCAAAGATGCTGGTGAACATCCAGACACAGAGCAAAGCCATCAGTTACACAGGCTGCCTCACCCAAATCTGCTTTGTCCTGACTTTTGCTGGATTGGAAAATGAAATTCTGACAGTGATGGCCTATGATCGATTTGTAGCCATCTGCCACCCACTGAGGTACAACACCATCATGAGCCCCAGACTCTGTGGGCTGCTGGTTCTGTTGTGCTTTCTAACTAGTGTTCTGGACGCCCTGCTCCACACTTTGATGGCACTGCGGCTGTCCTTCTGCACAGACTGGAAAATTCCCCATTTTTTCTGTGAGTTATCTCAAATTCTCAAACTTGCTTGTTCTGATGTCTTCATCAATAACGTCTTTGTGTATTTAGTGACCAGCCTGTTCGGCGCTGTTCCTCTCTCAGGGATAATTTTCTCTTATATCCGAATTGTCTCCTCCATCCTGAAAATTCCATCAGCTAGTGGAAAGTATAAGGCATTTTCTGTCTGTGGGTCACACTTAATAGTTGTTTCCTCATTTTATGGGACGGGTTTTGGGGTCTACCTTAGTTCTGCAGCTACTCACTCTTCCAGGAAAAGTGCAATAGCATCAGTGATATACACAGTGGTCACCCCTATGATGAACCCATTTATCTACAGTCTGAGGAACAAAGACATGATTGGGGCTTTGAGTAAGCTTGTCTCTAGAATAACATGTTTTCATTGATAGGTAGCTGTTTGGGGATTAACTGTTAGAATACAACAGAGAGAAATAAATAGAGACCCAGAAAACCTAACCAACTTCTTCGAATACCCCAAACCAGAGATCAACAAGTTAAGGGTAGAATTTTGGAATCAGACCCTGTTAGTTTAAATCCTACCTCTGTTAAACCATAGCTCGGTGGCCTTTGACTATTTATTTAAATTCTCTAAACTCAGTTTCCTCATCTATAAAATTGACATAGTTACATTAGTTCACATGTTGGGAAGATCTGAGATACATACTTCTGTTCTATAGTTCTATCAACAATGAACATGGGGATCTCTATGAGGTCCCCGTTTCACTTCTTCTGGATGCACAGGAGTAGGATTGCTGGATTACATGGCACATTATCAGAAAAAAGTGTCCAATGCCTCCTCTGTCCTCATCATATAGTGAAATTTTCATAACAGTGAAGTTTTTACTTGGTATTATTTTTCCATCTGTTCCAGGACCAAAGCATTTTAATTATAATAGCTCCATATTATCTTAACATTTGGAAAGGCAAATACTTCACTTTGTTATTTGCCTTCAAGTTGAATAATCTTTCTCCATTGTTCTTTCATATAAATTTCTAAAATCAGCTTCTCAAATACAATGAAATCCCAAGATTTGTCTTAATTTAAAAAGCTATTGGGGAAAATTGACACCTCTATGGTATTGTGTATATTTGTTTGAAATTAAAATATTTGTTCCATTTTTTAGATCTTCTTTTGTGTCCTTCAATAAAATGTTATCGATTTTTCCACATTGTGCTTTCACATCTTTTCTTAAACCCCTTTCCAGGTATTTATGTAACATTTTATTCAAAGTGTCTTTTAGCCATGACCAGTGTGGCTCAGTTGGTTGGGCATTGTTCTGCAAAGCAAAAGGTCATGGCTTCAATTCCCTGTCAGAGCACACACCTGGGTTATAGGTTCAGTCTCAATGTTTCTCACATTCATGTTCCTCTCCCTCCCTACACCTCTCTCTAAAAATAAATAAAATCTTTTTTTGAAGTACCTTTTAGAAATTACACTTTCTAAATAAATTTTGCTTAGTAAAGCCATGCAGTTAATATTTGTATAGTATTTTGATTCCAGCAACTTAACCCCATTTTCTTGTTCTTTCTAATAAATTATCTATAGATTCTTTGGCATTCTCTACCCAGGTGTTAATATTATCTGTTAATGGTTGCATGTTTATTTCTTCTTAATGAGTCAAACCTGAACTGTGTTGTTTGAATAAAAGTAGTGTTAATCAACATCTGTTATGTATTGTTCTTGATTTTGAAAAGAATGTTTTGAGTTTTTGACCATTAGGTATTTAATTTACTGTGGATTATTTCTGAAATATCCTTTTGGGGCTTAAATTGGTTCCTTTTATTCTCGCATCACTATTTTTGTCATCATGAAAGGATGTTGCATTATATTCCAATGTTTTTTCTCTATCTATTGAAAAGAATCATGTGTTTGGTTTTTACTCTGTAAATGTGTCAAATTATATTTAAGATTCTAATGCACACATTTAGTCATTCATTCACCAAACGTTGAGAACACACTGTTGCCAGGCCCTGTGCTGGGTGTGGACAGCCCTTCACAGTCAGCCCCTTTGCCAGGGCTGCATAATAACGACTGATCAGTGAAGATGTTAAGACCTGGACTTCTTGCCCCGATTTCGAACAACTGAAGCAACATTGCAGACACAGAACTTCATGCAGAGTCATGGGAGTTTGGCACTGGAACTCCGTTACATTTCACTGTGTCTCTGGCCAGTCCTACGTTTCTTCCCTTTCCTTCCACAGGGACTGGTGAGAACTCCCCCAGTAAACCCTTAGATGCTAATCTCTGTCTACACATCTACCTACTATAGAAAAATATCAGCTAAGAGGTGATGAGAGGTGCTGCAGAGAGCACACTTCTCCACAGGTCAAGAATGTGTAAAGCTGTTGCGAATGGACACAGAAGGGCAAGGAGACTCACTGAGAAATTACCATTTTAACGAAGGCCTTAAAGACCTGTGGAAGTAAACAATGGGGTTACACAGAGCAAAAATCAGCCTTGCATTCCTGAAGCAAAACCGAATTTGCCAGAATGCAGTATCCATTTATATTCTTGGTTGATTCAATTTTATGGAGTTTTGTTAGTCATTTTGTAGGAGTGAAAGTACTTGTGATTTTTTTTTTCTTCTGCTAAACTTCTATGCTTTAGGCATTCAGGTTGTACTGACCTTAGAAAATGAGATAGAGTATTTTCTTTCCCTTATATTTTCTAAAATAAACCTTTAATATTGAAACTAACAATTCTTTTTAAAAATTATTTTCTTTATTTGATTTGAGAGAGAGAAAGGGAGAGAGACATAGGTTTGTTGTTCCACTTATTTATGCATTTATTGATCAATTCTTGTATGTGCCTTGACCAGGGATCAAACCCACAAACTTGGTGTATGGGGCCAACACTAACCAATTCAGCTATCAGGCCAGGACTGAAATGTACAATTCTTGAATGCTTGAAAGAACCTTTCTGTGAGTCTGCTTAGTTCAGGCTGTATTTCCTGGAAAGTTGTGTTATCAGGCAATTTAATTACCATAATGTTCCTCAATAATTGTTGTCTATTTCTTTTTAAGAGAAATATTTTGTTTTATTAGCACCTGATCAAGGTCAAAATTTTCACTTCTGTTAGAACCAAAACACTCTTGCCTACTTTGGAACATAACTCTTTTCTCCCACCTCTCCCTATATCATAATTCCCCTTTTTGATTAATTCATTTTTGATAGCATTCAATACATTGGCATTTCCTAATCTCTAAGAAGTCTAATTTCTCTGACTCCTACATCCTATTCTAGCAACAGGCTCACTCATTTTTCTGCTCCTTTCATAGTCCCATTCAAGTGCTTTTGAAGAGTCATCAACGTGCTCTACCTTAAGGTCAAGGTTTAATGTTTCATCCTTCTCTTACTTAAATTGTCAGCAACAATGACTCAGTTTACAATGTAAATGAAGCACTTTCTTAGTCATATTTCAGCACCATGTATTATTCAGATTTCACTGTGTCATTGGCTACTATTTCCGTCTCCTTTGCTGCATCTTCTGGTCTCTCCAAGCTGTTCCCCAATTTTGTATTGGTCACCATCTTTGTTTCTCACCTTATGTCAAGTGCTGAGACTGAAACAAAGAAAAAACATGGCATTTCTTTCAGAAATATTTCTTTGCCTTCAAACAAATAGAAAGATGAGAATGAAGTTATTCAGTCTCTCCTGTATTGCACAGTCCTCAAACTTTGACATGCTTGGGGTCATTTGAGGGGCTTGTCAAATTAGCCATGAGTTAGACCATGCCGTCCCTCTATCTCTCCACAGGGAAACTGAGGAAAGATGAGGTTGTCACAGATGTGAAGCGTACAGGGTTGGAAAAGATAAGAACTCAACTGACTGCTGAGTTGGCTGTTTGAAAATCATTGTTAATGCCTCTGGATAATAGAGAATTAGAATTCCTAAACCATCCCCTGGACTTCATAATTTTACTTCAAAATTTTAATATATTCATCTTAAAGAATGCCTCACTATTTTCCCTTCCCTTGCAGGGTGTGTTCACTTGTACACATTGAAAAGTGTGTCAGGTTATGGCATCTGCCCAAGTCTAGTCTCTGCCGCCGAGCATAGGTTTTTGAAATGTTGCCCATTAGCATACAGTTCATAAAACTTCCCCACAGGCACGCTACTCATCTGCATTATGAATTTATTCTAGAGGGTGGACAACCATATTGTTGACATTATCTATCTCCTCCTAAGTGACTTCTTCCCCTAAGGTGATAAGTGGAATATCATTCGGAACAATAAAAACAGCTACATTAGACAAAAAATAAAATGCATAAGCTCTTAATAAAACAGACAAAAATAGGCACAGCTTTTTGGTCCTTGGAGACAGAGACAGGATGATTTATAAGATACTAATGAAATAATCAGGTGTCCTAACAGGATTGTCTGCAAAGCAGCAGGCCTTCCTCTCTGGGGAAGGCGGAAGATGCCGTGACAGTCTTTATTATTTGGTGTACTGATTAGATTCAAACGCTTTAAATTTAATCCAAACTGGTGCTTGCTTTGTGAGTGGAGAAAGCTGTCCAACTACATGAGAAGCCTGGTGCCTTCATTCATCTCATGGGAAGTCCAGCAGCCTTATGGGGCTGTTGCAGTGCTGAGTGATGAGCAATGATGAGCCACGGACAGAGGTGAAGCAGCCAACACAGCCCTCAGTCAGTGGGACCCTCGTATGGACACCTCCTATTTTGTGTGTGTGCTCTTTTTTGTCCCTGAACAAGAGCTTCTGGTACATTTTATTCCTCAGAAAGAAGCAATGGGTGGGCAAGCTGGAAAAAAATAGAAAGACAGAACATTCTTAGTATATGGGCTTATGAGAGGAAACTCCGGCTGGAATCTTTATTGTGTAGAAAAAGAATGAAGTAAACATTAATAATATCAAAATTCGTTTGGCATGAAATTATAGTGAAATGTATACCAATGAAAATGAGTTAAATAATAAAATGAATAGATATTGAGTCAATATAAATAACAAAAACCTATATAAGTTTCTATATAAGAAAAGATTTTGTATGACTAAAAGTCTGCAGCCTGAGAATATTAAAAATATATATGAACTTTCTCAGGTAATAGTCTAGAATAAAAATAAATATACACACATTTAAAAATTATAACTTTTAAAGAGCTACAAAATAAATAGATAACAAGGTGCTAGGTACACATCAGACCACAGTCTAAAATCCACACACATCTCAGTCCTCACTGTAGATGCTTTTACTGCAATAGACAACACAGGTGTGTGTGAAGCTCCCACATCATAATTTTCATAGTCTCAATTCTTTTCCTTCCTCAGAGTAGCCACACTAACCACACTGACTTCATACACATTATTCCCCTGCAATTTTTACTGTAATGAGTATAAATAACTGCATTCTTTGACATTTAAAAAGA